TACAGACAAAGTAAAGTTTGTTAAAGTTGGGATTATCATGCAAAATAAACTTTTTTAAGCTTAATATCACGTTATAATGTCATTCCCTCATCATAAACATACCCAGAATGTTGCTTTGACTCATTCATTCCTGTTTGAGAAATCCTTGAATCTCCTGTGGTAGCTGTATGGAGCTGCTTAAACACTTGCTGGTACAAAGCACCGCCTACTTATACAAAGCTCCTCCCTGGGGCTCAGTCTGCAGCCAAGCTCCCGCCCCACAGAGCAGCCCTCCCCCGAAGCATTGTTATGAAGACGTGCTAAAGAAGGAGCACCCTATTCTTAAAGGGATGGTATTAGGTCTTTTCCAGGCTCATAGATGAATTTTATACCACAATCAATTAACTACTTCAGTTTTTTTATGAAAATGCCGTATAAATAAATTTTTTTGACTTTGCATTATAGTCTGTCTAAATGCCTTGAAATTGACCTCTGCAGCTTTAASTTATAGCCTAATGGAATGAGCTGCTTGTCTAACTTGCTATCAACTTGACAAATTTGACCATCCTTATTATCTCAGCTTGTAAAAGTTTTAAAAGTGGTTTTAATACTGGGTGTGTTGTGCCTCCGAGYAGCAGCCTGTAATTAGCTCATCACRTATTTGTGAATTTACAGCAAATGTCAAACTCCTTCGAAAAGATTTCCAACAAGAAAAAAAAAACGTATGCACAAATCATCTTATGATAAGTGTTTATCTTTTCATCCCTGTCTTTTCAAAAGCCAAAATTGTATTTTATGCTAATTTTGTTTAGTCAAGATGTTTGTCTGTTGTTTTTATGAAATGCTGGTAAGAGAGTGAATCTGTGAACAAGTGAAAAATAACACCGAAAATATTACTATGACTACTAATAGTACAAACAGAATAATAATCATTGCCTGGTTTAATTACCTTATGATGCATTCKTGACACAGTAAGTTAAATATAAACTCTTACAGTAACAACACTAAGCAGTTGTGTCTCTCCTAGTTACGAAGGTTTATCAACACTAAATAAAAAAAAGATTTAAGATGTTCTTTAAATCCAATGTTTTTCTCCTYGTCAGTTGTAACAGATCAGTTAGTTTCAAAGACGAAGATGAAACCCCTGAATATTAAGTGGAGCAGTGTCCCTTTTAAATGAGGTCAGGTGCTTGTTTAGTCATGCAAATGAAAGCAGTCCATCAAAGACGAGCAAAAGTAGATTAAACAGTTGCAAAGATGAAACACACAAATGTTTTAGTCATCTTTTGATGCATGTTTCCAGTATGTGCAGATTGGTATTAATTATTTATTTAGTCATTTATTTAATGCCACATTAGCGAATGAATGGAGTAACACAGTATGTCCATGTTGGACACGTTGGACCATGTCCAGAGATAAACACTTCCACTGTTACTGTGGTCTTATCGTTTACACCGGCTGAGGGATCTTCTCTCTGCCACCGTTTATTAAAAGTCCAAGCAAGGATTAAAATTTTATAGCTCATTGATAATTGACACCTGCAGGAGCTGGAGAGACAAAAAAAGGTTACATTTTTACAGCTGCAACTTCATGTTAAGAGATGTGCAAAAGAGGAGAAAATGTAAATTTCATAATTTTTAAGGGTGATTATCTGAACTAAAGGCTTACGTTTATGTACCCTCCCAATCAAAACTCACATCAAATAATGTTTTGTTCCTGTAATGTAATATTGATAACTTTTTTTCTGTTCCTTTCATGTGATCAAGGGAGCACTAAGAGTAGCAGCATCTTCGAGTTTCTGATTTGTTTTGTCCTTGTGGATGTTGTTTTGAAAACTGCAACAAAGGAAGCTTAATGTTTCATGCAAAAAAAGCAGAGATTTAATATTTACTAACAGAAATCCTTCCCACCAGCTGTTTATCAGCCTAAACATGCTATAAAAGAGGCTCCGATTTAGCTGACTTCTGTAGAAACTGAAGTCTAAACCTTGTTATGACTGATGATACGGCTGGTGGCTCCATTACAAATCACCAAACTATCACTTTAACCCTTCAATTTGTTATGTCTTCCCAAATAATAACAACATGTATTTACCAATTGTCTCAAGCTCAAATGTCCTGTTTTAAAGTCAGATGACTAATTAAGAACACTGGTGGCTAGTAACTTGAACGTTTAGCCGGAAACTGTAGATCAGTTCCTTCTGTAAAGAAAAACGATGCTAAAGGTCTTGACTGAGTTAAGGTAGGCAAAGATTCCTGACAAAGCACTGGTGTCAGTATAAAAACTTAAATGAGTTTTTTATTTTTTCTGTGTAACTTTTTACAACACTGTAAATAATCTGATGATGACAATGATGCACCCAAACTCTGGTTATCTAAAAAATGATGATGCATTTGAAGTTATAGGAAGAAAATAAAAAACTTATCTGGATTATTCTCTAATTGAATTTGGSGGGGGGGGGGGGGAGATCCTTAATCAGACATGTTGTTATACGTTGTAAACGCTAGACAAACAATATGAACTCTTCATAAAACTAACTCAAAGTAAAAATCAGTCCTATGCATTTATGTTTCAATTTACAGAGCCTATACACCAAGTATTCAGCTTGATATGTCAGAGTGATGCAGTTGAGAATAGAAAATATGTTTTTTTAAAGAACAGCTTTGAAACACTGCTTCTTTGACCTTCATTTAGAGTTTCCTTTGATGAAACGTGGGTCTCACAGATGAAATGCACACCCGAATCAGTTTCCTTTTTCCAATTAGAGAACAATAAGTTGCTCYATCATTGATGTCTTGGAAGTATTTTTAACGTCTCTCAGCAAGTCCTCGTGCATGAAAGATTGCTCATTTCTGCCCACATCTGCAATCATAAAGGAACGCGCTGCAGAGGCGAAGCCAAAAGCTCCTGGGCCTCAATAAAAGGACGAACAAAGAAAGGGATGCAATTTGTTTGAGTTCGGCTCGTAATGAGCGGTCTGCTGTCAGCGCAAAGGCTCCTCTCCGCTCCGCCAAAGGATGGAAAATTACAGTTTCAAAAGGAGGGACCGTAGCCATGGTGAATGACCACCTCTCTCCATGTTTCCTCGTCTTCTACATCCCATACACCCCGCGTACACTTCCTTCAGATGACTCTCACACATACACACACACTGCAGCAACATAGTGAACTGCCAGGCAGACATTCAGCCTCAGGATTAGCCACCAGATTTARACTGCTGGTTGCAGTTTTTTGCAGAGTACACAGCTCATTCCACATTTGCATCTTTAACCAAAGGAAATGATCCCTTTCAGCAAATATCAACCGCAATAACGAAACGTTAAAACCGCACTGCAAAATAACAAACCTCCGTTTGCTAGACTTTTTTCTTTCCTGCAGTGTATTTATTTAGCATCTCGACATCAAAGTGGGGTAACTGCAAGGAACCTCTGCGAAGGTCAAGAGGAAGGATGGTGATGAAASGAAAGAAACACAAGCTGGAGAGGTGAAAACTATCTTCTGGCTTTGCATAACATTACTGCTGTTCATGCAGAGCCTTCGGAGCTTGGATTACACAAATATAGACACCGTGCTCTTGCTGCAGAAAGATGAACAGTGCGAGTTGCTTTCAAGATGTCTATAAGACACAGATAATATGTTAATGCTAAAAGCCAAAACACTAATTAAAAAGCCATTTAACGTGTAATAAAATGTAATGGGATAAGGTTAAACCTAGTGACTGCATCCCAAATTTTAAAAATCATTTCTATATAACTGTGAGTTTTAGATAAATTCAATGGCTCTCTGTGACTTGAAGGCAAATCAGATTTATTTCTCAAAGAAGATCTTCAAGGCAGGCTGTTCACATCTGCGTCTGCAAGTGATCAAATATGATTCCTGACTCTYACATAATGGACGACATTTAAACAGCTCTCTTGTCTCATTGACCTGAAACTATCCTTTCAGTGCAAATGTTATTACACAAACACATTCATGAGTGCACTGAGAAGAGGAAACTTCAGCAAAGTTCAGCATTTTACTTCATAAATGAAAAAAAAAGTTGTGGTTTAAACCACGAGATTCAGAGCCTTGATGTTCCGTTTGCACGCAGACGACACTCGACTGTACGTGCCCAAAATCCTGCAGATTAAAAGATCAAATAARACCAAGACCTTTTGGATGAAAGCTATTTCTGTTTTTCTGGATCAGTTCTCCTGCAATTTATCAAATATCTCCATGTTTGTCTTATTTTCTATCAAAGCACAAACAAACATTACATGGTTGGACCGTCAGAACAGAGCAAAAGCAGCAGTTTGACATTGTGCTGAACCTCACAACCGTTTTTTTAAATTTTTCTTTTATTCTTTGTATTTTTCAACAGAGTTTGACCCCTATTACACRTTTGTCTGGGGTTTGACATTTCAAAACAGCTACAGCAGGCAATGACGGATGAAAGCTGGAGAAACAGGGCACCGGAGGCCAGACCTTTTTCTTTTTACGAGTGCAGAAAGCAGCAGCAGCACCAAAGGACTTCTTGAAGTTTAATGAAATTACAGTTCAGTGGAATTTACTCATACATCAGCAGGTGCATGAAAATCAAGTGTGTTATGTACCGCAAGCCTAACTATCAGAAATCAACAGCAGCTGGGACATTTCAACCTGAGCTTCCGTCTTTTAATTGTATCAAGTAATCTGCTGAACCAGCTTTGGTGAATAGAGATCCATGCTCTGCCGCTTGCAGCAAGGTGCCAACGCTTTCTAAGCCCCACCCCCCACGGCGCCAACTGGCGTTCAAYCAAATCCCCCAGGTAGCCAGTAAATAAACACCTGGGATGCCCGTGATRGCTAAAACTCTTACATAATCCCTGGTCAGACGGGGGCAACGCTGCAAATCCCTATACCAGGACTTGCTGTAAGACGTAAACTTAAGGTTACTTTCCACAAAAACCCACATCTAAAGATCTGAACCATGCCCCATCTTCCTCATGCACCTATACCGTCTTTGTTTGTGTGATGCAACTGCAGCTCACTCAAGTTTGTACCTCCAGTACGAGCCACAGCTGGTCCCCGCATTTCACATCTTTCTTGTAGTACATCCCATAAAACTTGACAACGTTCGGGTGGTCAGAAAGAGCTTTGAGGATGTTGTATTCTGCTTCAATCTCCTCATCAATATCCTGCAGAATAGAATGGCCACAATAGTTAAGAWTGCAAAAGAACAGACTTGTTTTTGTCACATACAGAGTTTTCACTGATATGGTTTCAAGTTTCAATCAAAAACAAAAACAAGTTTTCAGCCTTTCAACAGAGCACACAAACATGTGAACAAATACAGTATATGTATTATAGCCTGAAAACTTGTTTGGTCCTGAGTGTGACATCTACTTAACTGTTGCCTTTTTGTTTAAAATCCAGAAAGCATTTTCAGTCATTTTTGTAAAAGCAGGAATTTTACACTTAAATATTTTTGATGCATGCAAAACATTTGTACCAAACTGGACCAAAAAGTGTTCAAAAACAAAACAAAATGACAAATTAATTGGGGGTGAGGGTGGATAACTGTTTTAATGTCACAACCATTTGGTTATTGTTATTGTTCTTTCAGTTTTTGTAAAAGTAAATATCTAAAAACACTTGAACAGGTCAAAACAATTCAACTTTTTTCAAGAGTCTCCCAGTGACATGCTTACATCATTTTAATCTGAAATCAAAAATCCCCAGTGGGTACTTTTAAATGTAATGAGTCTTTGTATGAAATTGTCATTTTAGTGATTAAATTGATGWCCTTTAAAAACTATTAGTCTGTGTAAAATTGTTTCTTATAAAGAAAAATTAAAAACTGTAATGAGACGAAGTCTTTGTTTATTTCCTAAAAARGCAGCTCATTAGAGCACCGACAATGGAAATGTTTTTGTGTAAACAAATAAAAATGATGTTAATTTTAATTAGAAAGCATGGATAAATTATTCAGAACTACTGAGAGCATGCCATGTTTTGTTTTGTGTACCTCTGATTCAGAATGTGCTTTGGCTCAATGCTAAAACTCAGCATGAACAAAAAAAAAAGGTCACAATATTAGGAACTATGTTAGTATCATCAAAATARATTTGCTGAGATGATTTGTTGACTGATGCAAATAAAAAATAAAAGTTAGAAGGTTTAATATTTTCAGGAAAAAATAACAAAAAAGAAAAAAAGTTTATTTGATCAAGTGCTGAATTTTCCCCCATCACTTAGTTTCAGAGCAGTTTTTACTCCCAAACTGATGATCTTCAAGTAACTTCACTAAGATAACTGATAAGTGAGTTGTTGATATTTTTGTGCAAAATGAAGAAGAAAAAAATTTGGCATGATCTACAAACCTGTTACATAATTTGAAAATATAAATTAAAAAACATTTATATAAAACAAAGAGCAAATTATTGACATGTAGTATTTGCTTTAATAGTGAACAAACAGTGAACATAATATAATTAAATGTTAAAACATAACTAGAATAAGTTCAAACTTGTGATTCTGCTCACCTTTTACAACTGAATCCATTATTTTTGCTTTTTTTCTCTACAGAGACACTAAAACCAAATAGATGCAAACATACAGTTCTGCTTCATTCATTTTTGGATGTAATCATAAAAAGTGGTTCCTCCTTATCTTTCTCCTGGTTTTCTTCATGTTTCTTTATGTTTTTTTTTATTTTTTAGTCTTCTTTTTCAGCTCAGTCCTGGATCATCCTTTGTGAAACAAAACGAGACCATTCCGTTCCGTTTTCAGCCACAACATTCAAATGATCTCAAAATTATTTTCATACACTTGAAGCCACTAACTGATTTYCATGTAAATAAAAATAATGATGGAGAGTGTGAGCAGCCTGTGACAAAAAAGCTGTTAATTTTTTTGCCTTTTTCTCTTTTTCTTTGCTAAATTATCAGCTTCAATTATAAAGTAAGTCTTTGTACAGCAATTTATTTGAGCAATTTGATTCATATGATTTATTAATGAAACTTTGAAACATTACTGAATTGACGTAATAATTTAAAGCACTTTGTTGAAAGTCTGATGTTTCAGTGTTGCACAGACAAGGTACACACAGCCTGGTGAGTGTTCGATTCTGGTTGCACTTGTTTTCTTAGGTCAAAGAAAACGTGTTAAAGAACCAAAAACAGGCGGTGATACATAGAACTATTCAGTTTTAGTATATACACACACACACAGTGTATATACAGTATATATATATACGCATATACAGTCACATATTTTCCTTACAGTCTTAAT